ATTTCCAGAGTATAGCCAGTTCTCTTCAAAATTTCCGTCATTTTGTCTGGATCAGGTCCGTTGATCAGCTTTCCTGCCATGACCGCCTGAGCTCCCTGGGCACGAATGCGATCGCGGAAATTACGCATGAGTGACATCAGGTACTGGGGCTTGTTTTGAACTCCAAAAAGTCTGGATTCCTTAAAGAGGAACAAAAATAAGTTCTGAAGCATCAAGAAGGAAACAGCAGTCAACTCACCCTCAGTTGATCGATGATGTAACGAGCTTGATCTTCTGGGAAGGAATTCATCATTTCCACTGCGCGCTCATCAAAGTCATCAATAGTCATGTATCCCGACTCGAACAACTTCATCAGGGTCTCGGCAACTGACTGCTTCATTTGTTGAGAAACGAGCTTCTTGTAAACTTCATCTTCAGCATAAGTCTAAAGGTGTCATGAGATTTTGAGACAAGTTTATTTAATTTCACTAGAAAGCGAGTGATCCGACCTGCTATACAGTTCTCACTCCAAACGTGAGAAATAGATATTTTTTGATATTTCGCCGAGTACAGCAATGCAAGTTTTCTATTCGTTAAAAAGCGTCCAGGTAGAAAGTCAATATAATGGTGCGTTCAGATTTCTCTGGTAAGCTTCTTTTCCAATGATAGAAGTCTAGCTATTCCTCCGAAATCTACTATGCCCTTGTTTCACATCGATACAAGCATTTCTGCTACCCTTATGACTCCCCATGCTCAGAATCCTTCCCCTTCAAAGCCGCTTCTTTACTGGCATACCAGAATTTACATCTGGATCTCCCAACTCGCCAACCGGTTAATAACCACCAACTTGCATGTGATGCATGCATGAAATGCAAAGCTATTCAGACCTGCTTTTGAAGAAAGTGGCGACGCTCGAAATGAAAAATTAAATCTCAACTAAGAAGACGTTAAAACTTTCTTAGCTTTTTTGAGGAACTGAAACACTATCCCTTCCACAACCTTACCAGCAACTGGATGCTAGGTGCATTCCTTTGATCTTTAGCTGGTAAAAAACCACACCACGTAATTCTCACCGAAACTCCTTGAGCTTCCTGGATCTTGTCTGCACTTCCATTCTCTTCGACAACCTCCTCCTTGGGTTCAATTTTAGGTTGTTCCATTTCGACGTCAGCCATAAGGGCAACTATAACAACTTCCATTAAAAAAAACATGGCAATGGATCGAAGTTATGCACGAATGAGTTCATCTTACGGATTTTACGACAAAAAACAGGAAGCACCAAAGTGAGGACAAAGTAACGAGTGATAAAACATGACAAAATATCCTTAAAAACAGCTCAGCTAACAGACGAACGCGATAAATAACACAGAAGAGAAGGGTCACGCCGGGCGGGACAGCAGACGTCGCCAAACGGACCGCAGGGAAAATCGATAAGCATTAGCAGCATTTTCGCGACGGGACCACACCGATGCGACAGGCCCAATCCTTTAAAATACTGCTACGTCGTGGAGGATAGCACACAAATTGAGAGCAAATAGGCATTTGTGCGTTTGTAATTGTGTGTTTTGTATGCTCTACCATAAAATAAACGAGGAACATAACCCGCAACATTGTTCAAGGGAAATTGACCAAATGGTGAACGACTATGGCATTTGTTTACTTCTATAACAGCAGACAATTACGAATTGCCGTACACATTCCTGCACAGCATTTTTTAAAACATTTCCTATAAGCTCAAGCAACATTTCAGCCATAATGCGGAAAATTTCACTCAAGATTAAATTCGTACTGCCAAGTTAGCGAAAATCGGGATCTTTGAGGGCAGTATGTAACAGATTCGAAGATGTCTCGGACAAGCGGAGAGAAAAGAAGCGCTTCTTCTACCATCTCTACCAATGTGTTCTACGAACCACATGTATATACGCACATGTTTCTTACAAAGACCTAACGGACAACAATAGGAATAGAAAAATTGGCTGCAACAAGAAAAGGAGATGTGTAGCTTCTTCAGGGGCAAGAAGGAATTATTTTCGAGCCTGGACGGCAAACTGACATCATCCAGGACCATGAATTCCTTTACGTGGAACTCAGCTGTGGTGGAGAATCGTATCGCCGAGCAGCCGGCACACAAATATAATAAACTACTTCACTTTCACACTCACTCCGTTCCCCTACAGATATTGGAACTAATCTTGCAGGAACGAAATATTACATTGACTCCCCACCTCCATCCCCCCCCCTCAACTACACTGCCGCAAATACTTTGATGCGCCGAGAAAGTTGGAAAATTCATGACTATGGTGTAAATTCAGCAACCTTGGTGCAGCATAAGGCTGGTGTCAGAGTCCGCGACCTCGCAGGTTTCGCTGATTTTCGCGATTTGCGCGAAACCTGCGACGGATCGCAAAAATTGCAAGTGTGTGAACATTTGAAACACTGAAATAATGAGCAGTCGTCATTCAGCCATCACTATCAAGCAGAAGTGGCGGCAGGATTGGAGAACACCTTGCAGTATTGATCGGGCACTTGTGATTTCCGTGACCCGTCGCGTAAATCGCGAAAATCAGCGAAACCTGCGAGATCGCGGACTCTGACGCCAGCCAGCCTAAGAGAGAACTCGAGTCATAAGATTCTTCAAGGCATGCCTTATAACGCTGAATCCACTGCGGTTTCTCAGCTCGTCACAGCTCATCATTAGTGGTCAGAAGTGTTGAACACTTCAACGAACATGGTGACTGCATAGGACAGGAAATCAGTTCGCCTTCACTCAATTAACAAGGAGGTCGTTCAGGGTGTGCCAAGCTTTTTCAAAATGGTTTCTTGCATGATATAGGGGCACATGTGGGAACCACAGAACCATGGTTCATTTTTCCTGAACGGCCCTCTGAATACCAAAAAAGGGGTCCCTAGTTCGATTCCTCGTGGTGACAAATTTTTGCATTTCGAGTTGACGTTTCAAAATTCGCGCAAAATGGAGTTAGCATGAATAATTAGTACCATATTCATGATTAGGACCGTCAGTAACCCTTACAAATAGACTTTGATTAAAAAAACTGGT